ACCTCCGGCTGCCACGCCGGGGCTGTTCCCGAAGAACCCCGGCGCCGACCAGCCCGGCAGGCCCCAGACCACAGCAGCCGGGGCCCTCCTCTTCCTAGCCTCTCGCGGAAGGCTGCGTTCTTCCAACCACAAGTTCTCGACAAGTTTCCTTGTATTTTCTTATTTATTTATTTATTTAGGGGGTGTGCGCGCGCGTGTGCCGGGCCTAGAGCTCGAACTCGGGGATCTCATGCCCTGGCTTGGGTTTTTCATTCAAGGCTAACTTCACTCTACCACTTGAGCCACCGCTCAGCTCTCGGCTTTTGGGTGGTTCATTGGAGATAAGAGTCTCACGGCCTTTTCCATCCAGGCTGGCTTCAAAGGGCAATCTGGAGATCCCAGCCTCATCCCAAAGAGCTAGGATTACAGGCGTGTGCCCTCACCGGTGCCCAGCTTTTATTTTTCATTACGAAAGTCACATTGGGTAGGAGAAACTCAAATTTCACCACGCAGCGGTGGTAACCATTACCAGAAACTGATGGGGGAATAGGGAGTCATTGCACATGCAGTATGCAGTTAGGTGGGTTTTGTTTTGCCTTTTCTTTTGTGGACATGGGCCTTGAACCCAAGGCCTGGGCTCTGTCCCTGAGCTTTTCTGCTCCAGGCTAGTACTTAGAGCCAGAGCTTCAGTTCCGGTTTTTCTGGTGGTTAATGAGAGGAAAGGGTCTCTGGGGACTTTTCTGCCCAGGCTGGCTTTGAACCCCCACCTCAGCCTCCTGAGTAGTTACGATTAGAGATTTTGCCGCTGCCGCCCAGCTATTCAGTTTTTTCTTTGGGGGGGGGCGGGGGGAAGAGTCGGTGCTGGGGCTTAAACTCTAGGTCTGGGCACTGTCCCTGAGCTCTTCAGCTCAAGGCTATGGCTCTACCACTTTAGCCACAGTGCCACTTCCGGCCTTTTCTGTGTATGTGGTGCTGAGGAATTGAACCCAGGGCCTCATGCATGCGAGGCAAGCACTCTACCGTGGAGCCACCTTCCCAACCCTAGTATGTTTTTTTTTTTTTTAACCCAAAATAAGTTACAACCTTTACTTACTGGAAAAACTCAAAAGTGCGTATATGATCATTTTCTTGGCTGGGAAGATTACCAAGGATTGAATTCAGGGTGTTGAGCTTCCTAGATAAATAAGTACCACTTGAACTACATCCCCAGCTCTACATCTTACTCTTTTTTTGCGGGGGAGGGGGGGGTGTCCGGTCGTGGGGCCTGAACTCTGGGCCTGGGCGCTGTAAGGCTAGAGCTCTACCACTTGAGCCACAGTGCCACTTCCGGCTTTTTTCTTTTTGCTTATGTGGTGCTGAGGAATCGAACCCAGAGCCTCATGCATGCAAGGCAAGCGCTCTACCACTGAGCCACCTTCCCAGCCCCTACATCTTACTCTTTAGTGTCAATATATGAATTAGTAATTATTCAGATTTTAGCAAATAAAAATTTGAGTGGCTATTGTGTAACATGATAGACTGCTTATGAATGGTGATAAAAATTTCTCACATCAAGATCTTAGGAACTGAAAAGAAGCAGATGCTAGGTACTCACACCTATAATCCTCCCTGGTTGGGAGACCTGAGATCTAGAAGATCACAATTTTTAAAAAATCATAGAAAGGGGGCTGGAAGGTGGCTCAGTGGTAGAGTGCTTGCCTTGCATGCATGAGGCCCTGGGTTTGATTCCTCAGCACCACATAAGCAGAAAAAGAACAAGCCAGAAGTGGCGCTCAAGTGGTAGAGCGCTAGCCTTGAGCTGAAAAGCTGAGGGACAGTGCCCAGGCCCAGAGTTCAGGCCCCACGACTGGACCAAAAAAAAAAAGTCATAGAAAGTAATGAGTGTTTTAATGAGAAAGTTTTTTTTTAAGAGGAACATACAACAGTTAAAAGAGTTCCATGAATGCAAAAGAGGGAGATACAGTCTCCTACTTTAAGAGAGAAAAAAGCCTGAAAGTGTGACTTGACAAATTTTTCATATTTAAACATGAAGCTAGAAAGATTTTGTTAGCTGGGAAGAGGTTGTAAGCAACAGAGGGATGGAGATTGAAGAAACGAGGCACATAGAGAAAAAAATGTGTAATTTATTAATGATAATAAGTACTTTTTGAATGCCTAGTAGTCATCATAGCTTTAATATGGATTACTCGTATCACCTTCACTATTGTGAGGTAAAAACTAAAAAGTACCCTGCTTTAAGTAAGTTGTCTAGGGTCACACAACAAATAAGTGATAGGTCCAGGATTTGAAGTTCATACTTAGCTTTTAAACATATATTCCTTAAATGTTTAAACATTTAACCATTCTACAAGCACTGAGAAGCATCCAGTATTTTTAGTTAAAAATATTGAGCTGAACCAAATGTAGGAGGATCTCAAGTCTATAATCTAGGAGGTAAATATCAGGTGGTCATGGTTCAAGGGTAGTCTAGACAAAAGGTTAGAAGAATGTCTCAACCCATAGTTGGGCACATTGCCTTGTGTCTGTCATCCTCTGTGAGATAGACACTCCCTTGAAAATAACCAAGACTAGGAAGGGGGGTGGGGGGGCGCCAGCAGTTGGCTCAAGAGATAGAGTGCCTGTCTAGCAAGTGTGAGGCCCTGAGTTCAGTCCCCAGTATAGCCAAAACGGAGAAAAAATGATTAAGTCTATGTTTTAGAAAGATTAAATTGGCATTCTTTCTACATTTCTCAGTTGGATTTCTTTTTTTTAGGGGGGGGTCCGGTTGTGGGGCCTGAACTCTGGGCCTGGGTGCTGTCCTTCAGCTCTTCAGCTCAAGGATAGCACTCTACCCCTTGAGCCACAGCACCACTTCTGGCTTTTTCTGCTTATGTGGTGCTGAGGAATCGAACCCAGGGCCTCATGCATTCAAGGCAAGCACTCTACTACTGAGGCACCTTCTTAAACCTCAGTTGGATTTCTTATGGATATGTCTGTGTCTATTTCACAGTTCAGAGACAGCAATATTATAATACTTAATGGGCCTTAGACTAAATCACTCTTTATGAATATCTTTCATAAGTCTGTTGTTCATGTATTTTAGGAGCAGCAAATGGGTTTCTCATGGAAGTGTGTGTTGATTCAGTTGAATCAGCTGTGAATGCAGAAAGAGGAGGTAAGAGAAATTAAAGAATTTAGTAACTCTTGGGCTGGGAAGATGGCTCAGTGGTAGAGTGCTTGCCTTGCATGCATGAGGCCCTGGGTTCAATTCCTCACCACCACATAAGCAGAAAAACAAAAAGCCCGAAGTGGCGCTGTGGCTCAAATGGTAGAGTGCTAGCCTTGAGCTGAAGAGCTGAGGGACAGTGCCCAGGACCAGAGTTCAGGCCCCACAACCGGACCCCCCCCAAAAAAGAATTTAGTAACTCTTTTAACAGTATGAAAATGAACCTAGGAGCTGGGCACCTGTGCCTCACGCCTGTAATCCTAGCTATTCAGGAAGCTGAGATCTGAGGATCATGGTTCAAAGTCAGCCTGGGCAGGAAAGGCCATGAGACTCTTATCTCCAATAAACCACTCAAAAAACGAAGTGATGCTGTGGTTCAAGTGGTAGAGTTCTTGCCTTGAGCTGAAGAGCTCAGGGACAGCTCCCAGGCCCAGAGTTCAAGCCCCATGACCAACAAAGGAAAAAAAAAAAGAGTTCAAGGCCATATTACAGTCTCAAGTCAACTGTCAACTGATCGATAATGAATGCTTTTACAGTGCTACCCAAGTTTAGTATAAGGCCCTGATTTCAAACTCCAATACCACCAAGTAGAAAAAACAGTTCAAGGCCAGCCTTGAATTACAATTTTAGGCAAGCCTAGGGTTCACTAATAAGACTATGACAGAGCGGGAAATTGGGACCTAATTTCTCCCTTTCCCAAGCATTTCACATCTTGATACAAGTGCATACAATAGTGCATATTTAATAATTCAATTATTTTATTGAACTTAGCAAAAATTTATGCATTTCAAATGAACAAAGATGGTTTCATAGAGGACTGAGTTTGGAGCTCACAATCGAGCTCTTGACCCATGTTATACGAAATTGGGTTCAGTTCCCAACACTGAAAAAAAAATCACATTTAATTAATTATTTTTTTCTCAGAGTTAGGAATTGAAAGCAGGGCCTTATGTATATGATAGACAAAGTGTTATGTTCCAAGTCTAGATATTACCTGCTTTTGCCCTAAGGTTTCTTCTTTATAAAACTTATTTTATTTTTGAAAGTTTTAGCAAGGAATTACTTAAAAATAACAAGATTAAAGTAAGGAGAATTTTAGAGAGAAATATTTTCTGCCTCCTTGTAAGAAGTTGGAATTAAAGATCCCTCAACTTGGGCTGGGAAGGTGGCTCAGTGGTAG